ATTTTGAGCTCGTCACTGCTTTCAGCCCAAGGTTAGTGTTTTTACTAATGAGTACATGAGGTCGGTTGTACTCATATTGTACTCTGCACTTCGTATGTAGATTCAGGTATATCCGATCGAGGTGATTTTCAGACTTGATTTATTGCTAGCTTTTAAGAGACTACGAGATAGTTGCTATGTCGTTCGCAGTCTTTAAAGTTCTTACATTTATTTCTATCTTTACTGTTCTATTGTTCAGGCAGATGTGTTAGAAGATTTTGCTTTTATCTTGTTGTTTAGTAGTGCTCGTTGTCGCACCCCGACCTCGGGGAGTGCGATTGGTGGTCAACCGAGATATTCCGGTTAAGAAAGCCTACTAGATGCCTTCTATCCAATCTTAGCCATGAATAATGATACCACAATATAGGAATTAGTAACAAGAGATAGACATAAGAAGAGCAAAGTGTTCCATATTCTTTTTTCCATTACTCAAAGGATATTCATTTTACAATTTCCAAAATATTACAAGTTCATAGTTACGAGAGAAAAATATGTTTGTCCAATACCAACACTTCTAGTTTATTACTCAACATCGACCACCACCTACAACATGTATACGAAGTCTCTAAGTATAACAAAATAGTAGTATGGAAGTGTCGATGACAAGACTCCGGGTAGACCTCAAAACACAAAGTACAACGTCAAGTGACATAAGGCCCAGAACAGAGTAGGGCTCACCAAAAACTGCTAAATAGAGAAGAACTACTAACAAGGGTCAAAGTTGCACGCTGGCAAACAACATACATCCATAAAAGATGCAGCGCTCCCGGCAAAAGGGACGTTAGTACATATAGAATAGTATTAGTATGTAAAGCTAAACGTCCTCTTTCGAAATAAAATGCCAATATAAGAATAGGAAAACCATGGAAGTAGCAAGCAACAATCAATGATATCTCCAAGTGTCTAGTTAAAAGATAACAATTTTCAAAATATGAAAATAATGTTATATATATATATATATATA